TAAAACATTCTTAGAACTGCACTATAGTTTCAGGTCTCCACAGACATTTTTCTTGACTACAAATATAAGGTTTAAATCTTATCTTCAAAGATTTTGGAGTATACCTTAGGGACAGCTACAGGGGTGAGGAAGGGGCAAAATTTTGTTTGAAGATTTTTTTTTTTTAAGTAAAAAAAGAAGTGATGAGGGGCTGGGGATTTAGCTCAGTGGTGCTGCACCTTCCCCAGAAGCTCAAGGTCCTTAATTTCATTCCCAGTAACAAAAAAAAAAAAAATTTTTGTTTGAAGATTTTTTTTTTTTTTAAGTAAAAAAAGAAGTGATGAGGGGCTGGGGATTTAGCTCAGTGGTGCTGCGCCTGCCTCACAAGCTCAAGGTCCTGAATTCAATCCCTGGTACCAAAGAAATAAAAGAAGTGATGAGGAAATTTAAGCTGATTTTTCGTGTTTTTTAAAAAAAATTACTATCACAGGGCTCTTGGGGAATAGTTATATGCAGCCCTGCTCTGCCTGCCTTCTTCTGAGGCATCTTGCTCTCCACCTTAGTTCTACTCCAGCAGTTCTGACTGCAGGCAGGGCCCCTCTACACCACCTGTTTGTCCCATTACCTCATTGCTGCTTCTCATAAATGCTATGAAGTTTGGGGATTTAACTCAATGGTTCTGCTGCCTGCCTCACAAGCACAAGGTCCCGAGTTCAATCCCCGGTCCAAAAAAAATTAATGCTATGGACTTAGTAGCTTTGGCTTCCCATACTCTGAGTTGAATCATTTTCTCTGCCTCTTAAATTTCACTGAAGATGTGGTTTGTGGTTTTTCTGTTTACAGTTGTTCTTGTTACCATGAATGATTTCTAAGTGAAGTGAGAAGATCTGTAACAAAGCTGCTACTATATATATATTCCTAGTGGAGGTGGAAGCCTTTTGATGAATGTGACCCAAAGCTTTTTGTATTTTAATCTTTAGACGTCTGAGTGATGAGTCAGGTAAGGCACTCTATGCATTTTAACCTAGGATCTCTGATTCTGCAGTTAGAACCCAAATCCAGTGAGAGTGCTTTTGATATAAAAGATCCATTTATTTACTGTATTTTCAACAGCAATCCCAACAGATTTATACAGAGGTTCTCAAAGCAGAGTTAGGAGTAGGATAAAGTAAGAAGAAAGGGTCATGCCCTCCAATCAGGTCAGAATCACTACTATGGTAAACTGATGTTCCTAAAACGAGTGCATCACGTCAGATTTGTTATAGTGAAAATAAGGTTGAAAATAGCTGCTTTAAATTCTCCTTGCCCAAAAGAGAAGGTGAGTAAGGCCTGGAAGACCCAGTAGAGAGTCTTCATCCAACTGTCTGTACTGTGTCTGCTGGTGCTGGGGAGCAGGATCCCAGCCTGAGGAAGCCCAGGGGGCTGGTGTTAGACCTTCATACCACTGCAGACCTGGTGAGAAAAGGAGAATTATTTACTCTGGCAGGTTTTAGGATTTCTGTTTTTTGATTGTTTTGTCTGAAATTTCCTAACTATATGGCACAAAAAAAAGACTTTCTAAAAATGTGTAGCAGTCACATGGAACAAATATAAAAAGTATAAAATAGGGTCAGGGATTTAGTTCAGTGGCACTAGGTCCTGAGTTTGATCCCTGGTACCAAAAAAAAAGCATAAAATAACGTAGAGTACAATCTCCCTCACCTTTTCTTTCTCTAATTCTCCATACTTCTCTAATCCTATTCAAAAAGCTACCAGAAGGGCTGGGGATTTAGCTCAGTGATTCTGCCAAGTGCCTTGGAAGTGCAAGGATCCCACTTCATTCCCCAGTACAAAAAAAAAAAAAAAAATTGAAAAATCTACCAGAGCCAGGAGTGGTGGCTATAGGTACAGGTATAGGTGGGATTATAGGTAATCCCAGCAATTGGGAGACTGAGGTGGGAGGACTGGTGTGAGTTTGAGGCCAGCCTGGGCTACATAGTGAGTTCAGGGCCAGACTGAACTACAAAGGGAGAACCCACCTCAAAAAAACCAAAAAATTACCACGATTTTTAGTTTCTAGCATAGCCTTCCAGAATGCCTTAATGCATATACAGTATAACCAAAATGAATACATATTATTATATTCATCTTGTTTTAACACCAAAGATGGTATATATTACTTACTTTCAATTTGTGTTAGGTCCCCTTTATACTCTTTTTCTTCCGCCCCCCTTTATACTCTTAAACATTACTAAAGACTCCAGAGAATTTTTGTTTATACAACATTATCTACTGATACTTACTGTATTTGAAATTAAAATGAGAACTTTAAAAAATTCATTAACAATAGTAAATGTATTAAATTTAACATAAGAATATGAAAAATAAGCATATTTTCCCTGAAAAAAACCAAATAAGAATCATGGTATTATTTTACATTTTTGCAAATCTCCAACATCTCACTTAAGACAGCTGGATTCTCAAAACTGCTCCTGTATTCAATCTGTTATAAAATATACTCTTTTGGGTGAAATATAGAAAAACAAGCCAGCTTTACATAGATACGTACTGAAATATCAAAGAATATTTTGATAGCCCTTTCAGATATCTGTGACACTCTTCTTTGATACACAAAGCAAAATCTCAGCAAGTGGTGGTTTCTAAAGGGTCAGCTTGCAGTGATGGATCTGCAACTGTACTATAAATTTTTATACTGTTATATGAGTAAACTCCATTCTTCTGCAAAGTATCTTACAATTTGTGCATATTTAACATTATTGGGTTACACTGATTCACTGAGTTATGCAGATATTCCAAATACTGATACATTATACAACAGCAAAAAGTCACATTTATACCAAAGTGTCACCTATCAATCTTAACAGAAATGTTTGACAAGACATTAACAGAAGGTGTCAAGATCACAGTGGTGAATACAAATTTCCCAAAATTCTCATTTTTTTTTTTTGCTTGAAAGCTCATATTCATCACTGACATTTACTTGTTTTCTTCAAAGTAGCAGTTTTGGATTTTTGGGAGAGTTTTTTTGGTACCTAGGATCAAACTCAGGACCTTGCACTTGCAAGGCAGGCACGGTGCCACTGAGCTAAATCATCCTCAGCCCTTTTTTTTGGAGATGGTCTCACTATGTAACCCAGGCTGGCCTTGAACTCACAGCAGTCCTCCTGCATCAGCCTTGTGAGCTGGGATTACAGGCTTGCCCAACCTTGCCCAGCTCAAAGTAGCAAAATTTAGTTCATTTTCAAAAAAATGGTTGCTAGACACTCTCGCCATAGTGTCTCAGTTCTTCTCTAAAGTAAAAAGAAGGAGTCTATTAAAAAAGTGCCTAGGGCTGGGGATTTAGCTCAGTAGTTCTGCTGCCCACCTTGTAAATGCAAGGACCCGAGTTTGATCCCCAGTACCAAAAAAAAATAGGTTACTTAAAAAAGTGCTAATACAGCTCACAACTAAATCATTCCAGTGTTTTTTCTAAGGTAACTACTCTAAAATAAAGTAAAATGCTTTATGTGTATGTTCTACTCAAGGATTATGATTTTCACAGAGAGTTTTGATTGTTTTGTCAAAGGTGTTCCTTAGTACTGACAGTAATGCGGTTGGTAGTCAAGAACACAAAGATCAATAGCACAATTGGGTGTTACCGCTTTGACTCATCCTAAGGAATGAGCAGGGTTTTTAAAAAATTTTATTGGTACATTTTAGATATACATAATGATTACATTCATCATGGGGAATCTGTAACTGTTCGTAATGTGTCTCAATTCTTCTTTCTGCCCCAACTCATTCTGCTCAAGTCCCTCTTCTCATTTACAAAAGCTTTGTTTCCATTTTTTTCCCTTTCATTCTTTTTTCCCTTCCCCTCCCCATTCCCTTTCCAATCTGAACTTTTTCTTCCTATTTTCCAATATCCATTATACATTTGATGCCATCTCACTCCAAAAAGAATGGCTATTATCAAGAAATCAACCAACAATAAATGCTGGTGGAGCTGTGAAGGGAAAGGAATCCTTCTCCACCATTGGTGAGAGTGTAGACTGGTGTAACCACTATGGAAATCAGTGTGGATATTTCAGCTACTTCAGCTATTTTTGGTATCTTCCTGAAAGAATTAAAAGCAACCTACCTCATGATATACAAACACCTGGGTTTACAGCAGCATAATTTGTAATGGCTAAATCTTGGAAACAGCCCAAATGCCCATCAATGGATGAATGGATAAGTAAAACGTAGTTTTAAAAATATGTCATGGAATATTACTCTGCCATAAAGAAGCATAAACTTGAGCCATTTCTAGCTAAATGGCTGCACCTTGAGATCATACTCTTAAATGAGCAGGTGTAAATTCTGCTTTATGCACCATTAGTACATATATCAATGCAGTGAACAAAGCTAATGACATATTATTATTAAAAGTTTTGACCTCATGGGCTCTCTGAAGGGATCCACAGACCATACTCTGAGAACCACAGCCTGACATAATGTCAATCACTCTGCTTTTTAAATTTTATACTATATCTCAGAAATTTTTCTGCCTCAATACATAGCTTCCTTACTCTTGGAATGGAAAATATATAATATTCTATTGTCATACATGAATTATAATAAATTAGTCCCTTACTGGTGGGCACTTGGCTTATTTCTCATCTTTTGCTACTGTAATAATTACTTTATATATATAAAGTTCATGCACAAATACCATGTATACATAGAATATATATCTATGTACACATACATATAGAACAAGTTACCAAAAGTTGAACTACAATTTCCTTCCTCCACTTTACCTGAGTTTTCTAATTTATGTCTTTTTGGGGCTACTGTGGGCACAATGATTCTCATTCTGTCAGAAACTACCTGCTAAAGCTAGAACCCTTCCTCCATCCTCTTTATTTTCCAGAAACTTTTAAGAAAATCTGTAATCACTGAACATCTATTCTTACTTTACTTGTGTTTGTGGACTTATACTTTTGCTATTTCTTTGCTATCTACCATCTTTAATGGAGTCTCAGGATGGGGAAGAAGTAAATAATAAGTAAATAATCTGCTGTAACTGGTAGGATTATTTTTTTGGTATGGAGGATCAAACCCTGCACTTGTGAAGCAGGCACAGTGCCACTTAAGCTAAATCCCCTGCCCAGTCAAGACTAGGAAAATTTATTGGGGAATAGGAATCAGGAATAGGAATGGGGAATAGGAATAGGGAATAAGAATGGGAAATAGGGTTAACTCCTGAGAGACAGGAGGGGCCCCAAATGGGTTGCCCTCTAGGATTTCATTTTTAATGAGTTATTCAATTCTTAAAAGTAATTATACTTGTGGGTAGATATATATATATATATATATGCATCTCTACGTGCAAACACACATACATACACACACATTTGATTGAAAGCTTCAGATCTTTCAATAATATATAGTAACAACAACAATAACGAAAGGTTAAAAAATTAAGACATAAGCTTACCTTGGAGAACCATGTGAATTTGTACTAGAGCTGGCAGTAGACGTCAGATTCTGCTCAATGCGCTGATAATTCCTTATCTGAATAAGAACTGGAATTGGGGCTGTCTCGCTGTGAGGTGACACAATAGGTTGACACTGCCTGCCACCACAATTAAAAAAAGAAATAAATATCAGTAAGGCCACTTTTCTGTCATGTGACATCGTCAGTGATAGGAAATACTCTAGAAAGCACCAAATGATCACTTCTGAATGTGATCGAGAAATAATCTTGTTAAAAAATATATATAAAACCAAAGAAATCACATCTGTCACCTAAATAGCTCCTCCTGGC